CGCACCGACAAGGATGGCAATCCCCTTGGTTCGAACGAGAAAGCCAAGGCTTCAGAAAGCCAAGGCTTCGAATGAACAAGCATCAAAAGGCTCAGCTAATGCCGAAGGAAAGGGAAAAGGTAAAGGTGGAAAGGGTAAGAGCAACAATAAAGGTAATCTTGAAGATGCCACCAAGTATTGTGTTTCCTGATCAATCGCCAGTATACATGGAGGCATATAAAGCTATCAATGGTCTTCGGTTCAAGCGGTTTAGCATGGGTAGAACACCTTGCCGCCCTCTTGAAATCTTTGCAGATCAGCCCGTCCAAACTTGAAACCACGGTTTTCGCAGGGTATGTAACCTTGAAAGACAAATCCAAGTCATGGGTCCAGGTTGTGGCTTACGTGGATGATCTCTTGATCTTCTCACGATGCCAAGAGGCCACCGATGTAGTTTTCAAACATTTAGCCAGCGCTTTAAAGATCAAGAAAACTGGAGAGATCAAGCCAAGCTTTGAAGGGGGTGGAAAGATCCGCTTCCTTGGGCGAAACATTGAAAGGAAACCAATGCAAAAAGATATCGCGATCAAATTGGACAACAATTACTTGGAGCCAACCTTCAACGCATATCAAATCTCGAAAGGCACAGATAATCCTCCAGACCTTCGACCTCTGTTGGATGATCCCAAAGAAGAGAAAGAAGTGCCTTTGACTACAGAAGCAGCATCTAAATATCGAGCAGCGTTGGGGAAGATCAGCTGGATGTGCCAAACTTTGCTGCGTTTGTCCATATATTCATCACTTTTAGCTACAGGGGTGGCAACTCCACTTGTAAAACATGAGAACGCTTTAAGAGCTGTTCTGAGGTGGATGTTTAATCATCGCGCCTTCGTACAATGCTTTCCATCCCCGGAGTTCAGCATGGATCCAAGTGCACAGGCAAGCCAAATCACCATGTACACGGATGCCTCATGGGCTCCACTCAGGTGTCTTCGAACAAGATCCATCTCAGAGGGAAGTGTCGTAAAAGACTTTTGCCGAGTGCAGTCGTTGGTAGCACTTAGCTCATGCGAGGCCGAGCTTTCGTCAATCGCCGAATCAGTTCAAGAGGCCATCGGACTAGTTAGGTTGACAGATCACCTGCACATCGAATCAAAGATTCGTGCTAGTACAGAATCCATGTGTGAAGCAGTAGCTCTAAGCCAACTACATGCGCATCTGTTTGAAGAAGCTTCTCTTCCACCAACCGAGCGCGAACCCGTGGCCCTCAGCGTAAGAGCCGACATGTGGAGTTGAGGATCTGCTTTTGTCAGGACCTCATCAAACCGGGAATCATCACATTGACCTGGGTTGAAGGTAATCTGCAAATAGCAGACATCTTAACGAAGACGTTAGGATCTAAGCTTTTCAACCAGTTCCGTGTAAGCGTGGGTTTTCTAGAGGATGATGAAGTTCACTTAGCCATGTCAGGATCAGCAACAAGTGCTTCACAATCGTCATCGATGAAGTCAGAGCCCAAATCCAAACAGCATATGTACAGCTTAATGCAAGCCGATGGTACTTTGAAGGTGTTCGCAAGTGTCAAGCAAAGCTCCCGAGTGGAAACACCAACACGACATGTGTCTGGCGCCAAGCAATTCCCAAGTGTTTTGATTGAAGCCTCTGACATCGATAAACTTGAACAAAAGTTTGATGTAATCATCATCGAAATTTGCTGTGCTGAAGCAAGTGCTTTAGCGACCAATGCAACCAAGGTCTTTCCATCCAACACGTTGGTCATTCGATGTACGAAGTCTTCGCCGTTGGAGGATTGTCATGCAAAGATTGTTGAGTTGCTCAAACGGCATCATCAGGGGTCCAATCGATTCTCTTTTGTGCATTTTTCTCTGCCATGCACAGGAGGCAGTTCGCTTCAGAACCTATCAAAGAATCAGGAGCGTAAAGATGCACTTCGTGATCAGTTTTTTTGTTTGCTTGAACTTTGCACCGAAATCATGCTTCTTTGTACTGTTTGGGCATTTGAATTGCCCAAGAGAAATGACTACTGGAGAACTCAGCCAGTTCAGGAGTTCATCATGAGATCCCGAAGGCCAGTGTATGCGAATCTTCCGAAGCTTTGCATGTGTGGTGGCCCGATTGTGAGCAAAACATTCTTGTTCACAACGAATCACAAAGTCATCGCATCTTGCCTCGAGAAGTTTACACATTGTAGCCACACAAGTCATGCTACTTTTAATAATTCTAAGTGGTCTCGTACGGGTCGATACCCCGAACGACTTGTTCTGGAGGTGTTAATCCATTTGAAGAGCATCGTTCTTCAGGAAGATGCCAGGCCTGAAGGGGGATGTCATGCATGATCCTGCAAATCCAGTGGTTTCGTTCAGTGCAAATCAATTGCTCACACACCCGATCACAAGTATGACGCTTGATTAGACTTGATTCGAAATGTAGTAGACGGTGAGCCAGTCAAGACTGCATCTTTCGGTGTCGTCAATCATTGCTTCAGATCGTAATTCAAATTCCTCAACATAGAAGTTCGAGAAAGGTCAACAAGATAAGACCTATGATCCTGTTTTTCTTTGCTGCCATGTTTGTGATGCAAGCAGTTGTTTTCGTGGCTGTGGTATGCTAAAAGGGAGAGATCCCATGAAGGTCGAATTGTGTCAGCGCTGCTTTTCCGACAGCAAGATATCATTTTTTCAAAGGAAGAACACCCCTTGATTGATGAAGTTTTGCACAAGAAGCGCGTTAGCTGTAAAGCTGTCACAGAGATCATGGCTAAGCATCGTCACTCAGAAAGCCGAGAGCCATGTATGCACTGTGTAACCCGCAGGACATACTAGGGCAGCTTGCGGTTGAGTGGACTCCCGCAATTTTTTGAGTAAAAGAACGATGTGCCGTTAGTTGTCACGTTTCCAAACCTTCCACTTTCCGTGCCTATGTGTTGATTGAGTTGAGCTCATCTTGAAATTTCCTTTTTGCAGGCATATAAGAATGCCACAATCCTCAGGCCAGTTCCGTTCAAGTCTCTTTCCTTGCAAAAGTACAGTTTGCTTGAGAAATCATCTTGAAAGGAGGTGTGAGCGTTAGTAACCATCAGAGATGGTAAATGAAGTCAAGATGATTTTTGGGTTGAGTTCAGAGAACCAATCTAGTCAACTTCAAACGTTTGTTTCTGGCAGGTACCATCCATGCTTTCGTTGCACTTCAACGCAGGATGCCGCAGCATCCGTCGTTCGTTCGTTGCACATGGCTCAAGCCATGGACATCATGCACAGGACATTCGTTCATGCGAGAAAAAGATGCGGCGCTTTGGGTGGAGGAACACATGTCATTTCTGAGGTAGAACATGTTGGTCATGTTTGGTTTCATCGCTTCGCAAAGAGTGATGGCCTCTAACCTGCTAAGGATGGCCTCCAACTTAAGAGCGATGGTCTCTAGCCTGCTAACGATGGCCGCCAATCTGAGAGCGATGGCCTCCAACCTAAGAGCGATGGCCTCCAACCTAAGAGCGATGGCCTCCAACCTAAGACCGATGGCCTCCAACCTAAAAGCGATGGCCTCCAACCTAAGAGCGATGGCCTCCAACCTAGGAGCGATGGCCTCTAGCCTGCTAAGGATGGCCGCCAATCTGAGAGCGATGGCCTCCAACCAAAACCAAATGTTTAACACCAATCGTTCAACTTGAGACCAACAATACTTTAGATGGACCCTTTTAGATCCGAGTTTCAAATCTTCGGGCAGTAGATTCTGTGTAGATCCTTTTCGCCAAAACAGACTGCCACATCGCCATGCTCACTCTTCTTGCTGGCCAATCTTCAATTGCAGCCTGTCAATGCAATCGACACCTAAACATAAGTACAAAGCAAACCCAACTATATAAAGTCGTTCAAGTCAAGTCAAATGTTCATCAAACTATATTGGTTTCGACACTCGCAGCAATAAATGCTTATAGATAGGTGCGCTGAACTGAACCCCATCCCTGCCTGTTCAGTATAAGCCTGCAGGAGATCCTGCGCCTCCACGTAGATCTTGCCTAGTTCTGCCCGCGCCTGTATCAGGGTGTTTCTGTGAGTTTTTCTATGCAGAGGCATGTTCTTTTTGCAAAGTTCATTACGCTCGTATTGTTCTGTCAATCATGTGGCATTTGATCTGTCAAGCCGCTGTTGCATATGGTGAGGACGGAAGGGTTGCAGTCTTGAAAGACTGCACTGCTGGCTGCAAGCGGTTGAGAACTCGATCCAAATATGCTTGTTTTTGCTGCACTGGTACATGAGGGACTCCTGGATATCCCATCACCAAATGGCCAAATGAATTATCCAAGAGAGTCATGGTGCTGTTCAGCGAGTATGCCACGCCCATCGATTCGAACCGAATGAAATCACTGGAGACATCTTGGGCATAGCCGGCCAACCGTGTGATCTCTGACCTTGGCTGGATTGCGCAATTCCTCCAAGTAAGACCGAAAGAAAAGCGATAAGAGAACTATAAAACGCGTCTTTCATAGACTTTAAGAGAACTATATAATATTATATAGATTAATATAATCTCAGCATCCCAAGCAGCTATCCTCCATCACAACGAATGTGCCAACACCAGAACTCATATCGCCACTTCGACAGAATTGAGAACGCCAGAACATTAAACTGAAAAGAACATCAAAGAAACGCACCGGGACATGTGCTAGACAAGGCGTGGGTCCAAGTCGGGAAAGTGGTGACAAGAGAGCAAGCGGGAGACCAAAGAAAATCGAGCCCAAAGAACAAGTCGGAAGCTTGGCAGGCTGCAAAAACAAGTCGGATGAATCAACGATTCTGCTTGGCGGGATCGACGATGACAAAACACTGAGTCAAATCGACAGTCAAACCAAAGACGACATTCAATTCTATGCCAAAGAAGAGAACCGAGAAGAATTGAATCCAGTCACATGAGCTCCTCCCACTCAGCCCTTCCATAAGTGACGTTGGCACAACTGATGGCCTGCCCCCTGTAAAAGTCAATGATGTGAATTGCAGCTTCCTCCATTGCATCAATGCCATCGTGGCTGGAAATGTCAATAGGTGTGATAGCATCTAGAGAGCCACCAATGATATCAAAGCAAGCGCTTTCCATCGTGTGGTAAAGCTCCATGACCTGGGCCATCTCGCCTCGAGATTCAAGATCCAAAACCAGTCCAGGTTACCCTTCTCACATGTTCATTCATGTATATATTCAGTGGCGATTTTGACCACTTGCTATCATGACCATTTCGAGCGTATTTTCTTACACTCTAGGATCCGCACGGATGATGCAAAGATCAGTGATTTGCCGAAGAGCGATGTTGTCCGGCGTGGCCGGAGCCCCCATGAGCAGCTTTTCATGCACCGAACGGAAGCGCCAGATCGTCAGATTTAGCTCCTACAAATGGAAAAGAACGGTTCAAAGAAAGAAAGAACGGTCCAAAGATCAAAAAATACATAAGAAACATGTTAAAAAGATCCAAAGGAAAAGGAACAAGACACGAGCGGAGACCGGAGCACCGGCGGAGCACGATGTCTGGGCATTGAACCGCTTCTAACGAAGTTTGACTAGTACAAACAAGTTTGCAGCTTAGCAACAAATTGAAATCCACTCCTTAGAACTACGGTCAAAAAAGCCTTATACAATCAATTTATGAGTTGAGGCAGGTCCGATTTGCCCTCTCTGCATAAACGGAGGGTTCAATTAAGCGGTTCACTTGCATAAGACTCATTTGCGTGAGAAGCAGCGTGAATCGCAGGCTGTCCAATTCATTGGTGACCAAAGCTCAGTTCAGATTTCAACTGGCACAATATTATGACAAGCAAGATTGCTTGCAATAGTGGTAACAAAACGTTCATTGATTATTGCTTCAAGGATGATCTGGTGATGACTCGAACACATCCCTCATTTCTTCAAACTGCTGCTTGCGTTAGAACATGTGGAGAGTTGATGCCTTAGCTTGCAAGACTTCAGAGTGGCAAAGTGTGGAACATGTTATTTTTTCTCAACGGCACTTCCAAGCCACTGCCGAAAAGGATGACGCGTTCGACCGGGGCTGTCGCGGTGCCACTTGAAGCGATTTTTTTGCGACGCTATGCTATGCTGCTATGCTCTTCCAAGAAAACCAAGAGTGTAAGAAGAAAACACAGAGCAGGAATGGAATGTCTCAACGTCAGGGTATTTTTTCCTTCAGTATGAGTGAGTGCATTGTGAACGTTTAAAAAGGAATGTTTTATTGTTTATATTGCCTCAATAAAAGAAAACATTTTGGTTTTAAAGGGAACACTGAAGCTATCGGTGTCCTCCTGAATCTTCTTGATTGGAAGACGGCCTGTCCCTCCATACGTCACCTCAAAGGCTTTGGACGGGATGAGGTGAAATCGCACATTTTGCCTTGGAGAGTCGGACGGGAACCGTTTCAACAGTGTGCTTTGAGTGCAAACGAACGACACAAAACACTGCGCACATGACGCCAGCACAGTCATGCGGCATTTGCATAAGATTGAGAAGTTTGATCTCAGAAGTAGAGCCGAAGGTGGCACCGACTTCGGCTTGGAGCTCCTGAAGCAAAGAAAGACCGCAAAATATTCACTATTCCATACTCCTCACAATTCGAATCGAATCGTTTCTTTCTCGTTTCAGCTCCATGGCATGGTTCATCTCTTCCATCAAGGCATCGCTCAGAATGATTTGCTGCGACACGTCGACCTGGCGAAGCCGTGAGCGGCGAGGTCCCACGCTGTTCCCTCGAGGAGGTACGACTAAATGTTGCTACCGGATGTTCTCTCGTTCCGACCTCAGAGAGATCCACACAAATTCCCCAGCCCCCGCTCTTGCGTTTGAAACAGTCAGCTTTGACAACGAGAATCATGTTTGATTTTGTAACTTTTTTATCCAGGGCTTGTGTTGCTGCTCATTCAGCAGACTTTCATGCTTCCCGAGATGTTCAGCCGAGCGCACAAAATAGGTTTAAGTTCTGAGTGAGTGGTGCTTGTTTGGACTTGGCCTCGCTTCAACAACGAATTTGTGAGGTTAGATTTATGATTCAAAGTGTTTAATTACAGTGAGACCTTAAAAAAGGAACATTGGCATCGAACACGCGCACATTGGCTTTAAATCTGTCATGATTTAGGAGCAACATTGTCAACTGCACACCATAACTGTGATACAATTCTGAAAAGAGTCCGTACATTGGTAACAGTGTTGCTGCAATGGCTGAAGGCACTTGCGGATGGTGGGTTGTGAAACATCTCTTTGTGAAACGTTGACAAAACTTGTCAAATAACGCTTCAACAGTTGAACAACCCGTGTCGTAGTTGGGTAACACTATTAACGGTTTGAATTCCAAGGGATGAAGAGTCAAACCGTCTCAACTCGGCCTCTGGAAGCGGTTGCTCAGTCCGGACCGCCTCATCGAAGGTCTCTCGGTCTTTGATGTCTTTATAACTTCTTATTCTCTTTCTTTGTTTATTGTTTTCTTTTTTCATGTGTTTTTTATGTTTTTTTTTCCAATGGTTTCATCATTTTCAATGTTCTTCTTGCTTTTCTTGTTTTTTCTTGCTTTCAGCTTTCCTGACCTCAGTGAGACCAAAGGCGAAGGTCTCCCAATGGTTCATCATCTCGATGAACGTTTCCAACATTTGCTGCGTGGGCGGTGCAGGCCTGGACGCAGCTCCGACTGGCGACTGCCAAGCTGCATCAAAGAGGCGACAACGGAACAAGATCAAAAGCGAATTTCGATGTTCTTTCAGAAAGCGAAAAAAAGAGTCGAAATTCGCTTTCGACATGCTTCGACTCTCTCTCCAGGCGACATGTTCTGCAGTTTCTGGCCCTGCACCAGGTCTCGAAAGCGTTGCGACTGTGCCGCCGCGATCACCGAAAGCTCAACTCTGCCTCGCATAGGATGGCCATCGCATGGCTGTAGTGAATGCCGGGGCACAACTGCATTGGACTCGAAAAGAGAGATCCAACTGGGTTCATAGGGATCGGATCCAAAGTGCGAAAGTTTGGATTGTCGGACGAGAAACACCCCTCAAGCAGTTTCACAAGCACTTGATCAAGCTTGTGGTCTTCACCATATCGCCAAGATACTTTCCTTGACAATCACATGGATAGCCACCTGCCTAGGGCTTTTGGATCCAAGCGGGAAGGGGAAGTTGTTTGCGCACTTTGCACCGTCTGTATTTTCAGGCTCAACCACTAAAATACAGTCAAATTCCGCTAAGCTGCAACTGCTAGCGCTCCTTTTTGTCGCGATGAGCTGCGTGCTTGAGCCAAGAATTGGCATGGTGCGTAAAAGCATAGCATTAGGTGATGTATTTCAACACCCCCCTCTGCTTTCACTAGCGACGCGTGAATTAGCAGCTGTGATCGGGCTAAGCTATGATGCCTGCGTGGATCTTCTTTTAAAGACCACTCTATGGCATGCGCTTAGAATGCATGCAGCTCGAATTTAGTATGATCGCCAGCTTCCGGTCGACCACCACCCATACTGGTCGCGCGTCCACCATTGGCCCTGGTAGTAGGTGTAGTACCCCCATCGATCGCCATCTTGATGCTCTCGGGCAGCAGCACGAGCTGTGCGGAGAGCTCCCTCTCTTGCATCTCTCACAGGCACCGATTTGGATGTTGTGGTTGATGCTGGCGAGGGAATTGGCGGCGTCTTCGGAGCAGGTGGATGCAGCAATGTAGTAGGCGGGCTCGGAGGAAACTTTGCTGTCGGCATTTGGCGAATGTCGATCGTACCAATCGCATTGATGCCAGCGCTTGGTGAGCTCTCTCCCTCGGGTTCAGCACTTGGGGCAACCCTTTGGCTGGGTGCGGCCTTTGGAGGCGTACGTGGCGCAGCAACATGAGTTCTGCTGGCCTTGCCACGACCCTTTGCCGCATTCCTTTCAGCGCCCGCTCGCTCTGCTGACGCTTGCTTAGTACGAGCTCTTGGGCTACTGGCAGGGAGCTGTCAATGGTCTCATGAAGCTCTCTCATGGTAGGCGTCTCAATGATCTCCATGACACAGGTAAAGGTCAACAAGTTGGTTCCTTTACCCTGGGTCTTGCGGTGATCGCAGAGATCTTGGAATTCCTTGAGAGAATAGAGCTCACGCTTCCAGATGATCACCCAATGAGAGTGTTCAAAGTTCCAAAAGTCCTGGATCACTGCTTGTGATGTCCGCGATGTCTTCATCAACGTACATCAATTTCGCAAAATCCAGGTCATTAGCGGTCCGCAATCCCACTCCGAGATCAACCTGAGCACGAGTGCGTGGAGGCGTAGGGAGATGGCCGTGAGCCACTATGTCGCGCAACTGGATGTCGAGCATGGTAATGTTGTGCTCGGTCATCCGTTAAACGAACTGCACGTCGTTCTCATAGCGGTCAGCCATCGATGTATATCCCAGGCCGATGGCTCTCTTCAACTGCTGCCTTGCAGTTCCGATGTAATCGCCTTCAGGGCTGCGATTACCTCGGGCAGATTCCTCGCGGAACTGCTTGCTTTGGCTGCCGATTCTCTCGATGGTATCAGCATCAAGGTACTTGTAGCCAAGCTTGTTGAGCAGCTCCTTTCTCTTTGCGAGGATGCCACGCTTCACCTCAGATGTGCCAGTGATGTTCGTATTGCATGCGGGACACACAATGGTGCCGCTGACAAGGTTTGCAGCGCGTCCTAGACACATGATTTTTTCAGTCGGGATGTTGTCCCGCTGAACTTCCTGAGGCGGCTCTGGGCTGACAATCTCCACGTCTTCCTCGGCCTCTGGCTCTTCCGCGGCGGGGCGCTCCCTCTTCTGAGTCGGTGCTGGATCCATCACGACATCAGTGCTTCCCGAATCGCTTGCCGAAGGTGCAGTAGTGGGCACTCCCTCGCGGGAGGCTGCCGGCGCCTTTGGAATGACTCTTGTCGCATTGGACCTCGACCAGAGGATGATGTCCTTGTTGGTATCCCGGATGTGGACAATATATGCGCTCGAGATATTGTAAGGTGACAAGATAGCGCCCGCCTTGGTCGTAAAGCAGATCAGGCCATCGGCTACTGCCTCACGCAGAGCAACAACAACTTCGATCGGATTGAGCCTCCGATTTCCCGGCACCACTTCATTTTGGCGAATCTGATTTCGAGCCAAGTAGATGTGGGCTCTGCCGGAG